GTCTCCATGGAGGGTAATCGGCTTGTTTAGTACAAGCAAGTGAGAGCAAGTGATTTAGAACAAAAAATTTGATCTCGAAAAAAGGTTGTACCCATCAGTACTACTTAAGTAGTATAAACAAGTCCTCCCGAGCCATGTTGGATGATTTGCTACAGCCGGTCCGATCACCCGGATTTGGCTAGTCAGGCCTTCATTTTAACTTCGTTACATATATATACTTAAAAAATAGCTTATCCTGGAAAACCATTACCTAATTAGGCAATTTCAAGCATCAAATTCTAGAGGTACATATACACAGTCGAAGGGCTACATAGCGAGCTCTCTTTGCTCGCTATGAACGAAGTTGGGTGCTTAAATACAATTGGTATCATGTATGCGACTCGGCTAGCTAGGCGAGCTAGCATGTGACTCTGTGTAACTAGAGATGAATATATGGATATCATGTTAATTCTCCATCCACTGAGCTACCCTGTGCCAAAAGAAACAGCCCACTGCCCCATGTGAAGCTACATACAGTGCCTGTAACTAGGTCTGATCGTCCCACTACCCCCTCATCCTAATACTAGCCCCCGCCAATTTCTACGCATACAACGCATCCATATTCTCCTCCCGTCTTTAAGCCATGCTTGTATTACAAATCGCGCGGTTACCCTTCGCTACCTCCTGTCCACTACTTCGCTAACACCCCCCCTGCCTCGACTTTAACTAACCATTCTGTGCAATAAACTGTATCGTACCTTCTGACCCAGCTACCAGAAGGGAGATAACCTTCACCCATCGTGCCTCCCTGACTACTACCTAACAGCATTCAAACTACCATTATTTGAACCGAATTAGTACTCCTCTATACAAATATAATAGGGCGCATTTAATGTCCACTCAAAACTTATACAATTGTATGTATCATCATAAGTTTTACACTAGGAAGGAAGTCTAGATCAGCCCAGCTTGTAGAAATGAGAATATAACACTTACTCGCCATCCCCCACCATTCTCCGTAGCTGTATTGCGTCTTAAATACAAACAATCCTGGGCTAACGTAGATTTAGGATAAACCTCCTGGATTATGAGAGGTCCTGCAGTCAATGTGGCAGATTCAATGTCTCTCCCGTCGGCAGCAACACAAACATAAAAGGGGGAGATGTTTGTCTGGAAGTAACTCATACAACCATTGTCAGGATACCCATCTCCACACTATATGAGAAGTCCAGATTAGAAAGAGCTTGTAAATAAGAGAAAGATATTACTTACCCACCAACCCTTACCATCACCGGATTTGTTTAGTCTTAAGTGTGAGCAGTATGCGGCCAATGCAGATTTAGGATTGACAGGTTCGACTTTGTCAGGTAGAGGTGGAGCGTGAGGGAAATTCGTAGGATCAACGTCGGCCCCGTCGGGTCCCACACAAACATAAAAAGGATTATAGTTTCTCCATACGTATTTTACACAATAAATATCAGGAGTTCCATTCTCACACTATGTAGGAAGTCTATATTAGAAAACGCTCGTAAAATAGGGAAGATTAATACTTACCCACCATCCTCCGCCACGTAGACCACGTTCGCCAGGGTTGTTGACTCTCAAGTATGCGCATAACGTATTCATCCCAGATTTAGGATTAATAGGTGAGATTCTGTCAGATAGAGGCTCAGGTGGGAATCTAGGTGGAGGCGGAGCAGGAGTAGGGAACGTCGTAACCGTAATCGTGGAGGATGGTTCATCGGCGGCAGCTGCCATACTAGCGAACGCTGCAAGGACGTATATGAATCGCATTATTATAGATCATATAAAGATAAGCTGTCGGAGTACTACCGATGAACCGCTGTCAGTTGAATAAGAGCACAATGAGTAGATGCGATACATGGTTGAAACAAGCTTACTTCTTATTTATAGAGGGTCGTAAACCTTATAGAGACAAAAGACAATTCTGCCTGATACGAAAATAGAGCGCTATTACGAATACGTATTCATATACGAACCCCTATACGGAGAGCTTCGCTATTAATTTAGAGTACAATGTCCGTCGTGTACTAAACTGAACTAGAAATATATTTAGACTCTAGAACTAATTAAATTAATATTAAGGGTTGGAGCTAGGAGTAGGGTCATTTGTTTGAGAGACATAAGATATAGAGCAAAGCTCTCCCTGAGTACTAGACAAAGTTCGATGTTTGATTGCCTAATAGTCAGTGCATCTTCTGAAGACGCACTCACTATTAGGCATTATGTATACTACTATGCTCGGCTAGCTAGGCGATCCAGCACGTGACTTTTATGCGACCAGCTGCAGGTCTGTTATACTAGCCGTCTCTCCAAAGCCCTTATTAGCTATTCCTTCAATGCAAGGTGTATATATCTAGGATACAAGTTCGTCGAATGTATTTTGAGTTTTAGTACTTGCGATTGTATTAGCGTAGGTAGTATCAAGTAATTCGGCCCGAGTACACGTAGCGCGCTTAGGTATTGTCACAGCCGGTCCGATTACTCCGCTTTACCTAGTAGGACCTTATTACTCAGTTAGAACATCATAAGCTTAGAATCCTATGTGTATATATACGCTATTAATAGTATCTAATATAATAGGAGACGGTAGCTAGCCTTCTAAAAGAACTTCAATTCGCTATATATATATTCTAGGAGACAAGTTTTCCATACGAAATTAAATATCTGCTATAAGGAGGCACAAGAGCCCGATCCTTCTCATACTACTTTCTTCTACATAGAGCGTGGGTACGGGTATTTAATACTAAGTATATATATCTATAGTTAAGACAACGTAGAATTCAGATGAAAATAATCCATAGAAAAAGAGGTAGAGTTTCAGGTTCAGGGTTAACAGCTGCTAGAGTAGGGAATGTAGTAATCCCGTAAATGAATCCTCTTTCCGCAGATATCACGAAGCTAACTTGTCGAAGTGCCATCAAGACTCGATAAGGAGGGCCAAAACCGTAGATACCTTATTTTGGACTTCAACACCAGCAAAATTTCCCCAGAATGTGCTCGCTAGGCTTTTTTGGATACTTGTTATAAGAATAACTATGTATATATTCTTAACTCTTTCGGTCCTAAAAAGGCTTTTCGAACCTAAAAGAGCCGAGCTAATGAGGATATTCTCGTTTAGAAAGTTCGCGCCTAACTATATTCTTGTATCGAAGTTGTAAATTATAAAGGAGATAGGTAACATTGTTAGCGAAGGTTCCGGATAACTATATCTATATATTAGGGGCCACGATACCGACCTATAGTAATTGGAAGGCGCGAATACGCTTGAGAATACTTACGTTATAATTACAAGGTATATATTATTCCACGTTAGATCATTTCTATGGAAGATCTCTATACTCTATACAAGAGAAATTAATTACGAGTAGTAAAACAAGTCTAGAAAGTGGATTTTAGTACAGAGAAGGTCTAGAGATTACAGAAGTCTTAATTGAGCCCCTGTTGAGAAGACTATCATCAAAACAACTTTCTTTAACGTATTTAACTTTAACTAAAACAGAAGTAGAAACCGTAGAATAAAGATATCCATCTCCGCTCGCACGAAGATACACGAATTACAATAGCGGACCACCATATCCATTCAGCGCAACTTGAGAAAGACAAACCATCCCATCCCAGCCCATCATTCTCGCAGTAAACCAAAAAAAAAAAAAACCATGAACTTACTTCCAAATCAGCCCGTCCCTCAAAACCCTCTTTAATTTCCGTGTCGTTTACAATGTCTTTTCAACAAGGTACGCTAAAGCCAGAAAGAGTATATGAATATCTGAGTCATCTTTAGGGTACAGTAGGAAATTGTGTTTTGATGTTTGCTGGGAAGTGTGTAGGTATGATGACAGTTCGAAGATTGGGGGAAGATTTCGAAGAGTGCGTCTAATGGAAATAACAATCTAGTTCATGCCAAATGATTGATACAGTAGTGTATTTTTGTATTCAACGCTTCTCCTGAGAACGGGCATAAAGAAGTTTATACCTACGGAGGTACACATGGAAAAATAGTAACACGAATCTTTGGTGTAGCTAGTTGTTAGATCTACAATATGTAACCAAACTCTCTTGACTCATCGACAATACATTCATTGACTCATTCATCCGTCTTCCAAGTACTTTTGAAACATTACAATGATTGCAATCCAATTCCACAACCAAAGCTCTCTCGGCATCTCTTTGCAACGCCACAAGAATTCGTGAATTGCAAACCCCGCTAATTCTCCCCATCTTGATTTCAGTACAGTAGCTTTTGGCGGGGTACGGGTTCATTACACAACACACAAGGCTGAGAATCCCACACACGGTTCCCAAGAAAGTGGGGGCACGGGGGTAGATGATAGACTCACACAAAGCTCGCCGCGATCTCTCCCGCCGGGCTGGGCCAGGGACCGTCGCAAACATTCACCCATCGATTGGCGCTATCAAAGATTTGACGAGCATTAGCACCGAATTTGCCGGGGAACAGACAGAATAGGCGAGAGCCGCCCTCCTTCTCAATTTGGGTCCGTCTCCCAAGCCGCCAGCCCCAGCCCAGCCATACTGATTTTTTTCCGCCTCCAGTTCCGCCTTTCGGTTTGCTTGGAGACTATTACTGCCCAACCTTGGTCTTGTATTTCTCGCGAGCAGAGAATTTTGGGGGGCGTTCAAGATCAGATTTTCATTCTTATTATTTGCTTTTGCGCAGTACGGAAGAACGCAGTGGTCAAGATGGTCGTCAAGGAGTATGTCACCTATAACCAGGTATGTCTCTCATCGCACCCCGCACTCCCCTCACCTCCACCGAGGCAGCGCAACACAGACAGTACCGTCCAATTCGCGCAGCCTTGAACCACCACCACCAACCGCAACCGCACCCACGACCTCAAAACCACGGCAGAAAATGCTTACCAGTAAAATGTATAGGTCCACAAGCTCTGCCAGGAATCCGCGCCTAGAATCCTCTCCGACTTCCAACCCGAATTGATCATCGCCATCGGCGGAGGAGGCTACGTCCCGGCCCGCATTCTGCGCTCGTTCTTGAAGCAGCCTGGTTCCCCGAATATCCCCATCCAGGCGATCGGTCTCTCGCTCTACGAACAGCTGCCCTCGAAACACTCGAGTGGTTCAAATACTCCGGGTGAGGTGGAGGTTCCTGGTACGAAGGTTACGAGGACGCAATGGTTGGATTTGACGAGTTTGGGAGAGGTATGTTCTCACAATGAGAGGTGTTACATGGGGGATTACATGGTATATGCTGATTTTTTGAATGGCAGATGGAGAATCTGGTGGGCAAGAAGATTTTGATTGTTGATGAGGTTGATGATACACGTACGACACTTGAATACGCTGTTAAGGAGTTGGAGAAGGATGTTGAAGCTGCACGAAAGAAGTTGGGGTATGAGGGTGCGAAGACGGAGTTTTCGATATTTGTTTTGCATGTATGGATCCCTCATTCTATCACCACCTCACGATCTATGTACTAACAATTCTTGCTTGCAGAACAAGAACAAGGAGAAGAAAGGTCACTTGCCCCAAGACATGTGGAACGAGAATCGATACCGCGCCGCGCGAACCGTGGAGGATGTTTGGATTTGCTACCCATGGGAGGCTACGGACATAGATGCACACGATGAGTTTGCGCGCAAGCAGGGAGGTGCATGATAAACTTATGCGGGAGATATTTTTGCATATTCATATGCTGCTGGGAGGAAATCTAACTCCAGATCACTCAATACAGTAAAATCACAAGACTAATAGAGATTCTTGATCAACCAACATTTTTTTCCATTCTTTATTGTGGTTTTCACTTAGATACGTCTTGAGATTGCTTCCATGGAGGGGCAATAGAAAGTTTCGCTGTGACGATATGACGGCGATAAGAACACTGTATCTATCTTAGCGTGCTATGCTCACCCCCGCAACATCGCCATTCATGCGTGCTCTGACGAAGCTCCTCTCAACGTCGTATACCCAATCACCATCTCCTCCTCCCCATTTGATTACCAACAATCCCCAAATATATCCCCATATAAACCCCCTACAAATACCCTTATAAACCCCCCTATAAATCTAAACCTAAACCCAACATCATTCTCCACCCCCATGTCTCCACTCTCAACCTCCATACCATCTATCATCAACCTCTAAGTCAGACAAACTCAAAATTCTAGGTAAAAATGGGCGGCGGTGACAAACCCCCTTCTAAAGAGATAATCCTCTGTCTCCTCCCCTGGCCAGCTCAACAGGATGTCCTCGATGAGGTGAAGAGAAAGCATCCACAGGTGGAGATCCGGTATGAGTTCCAGCCGGTGGTTGATGGAGGGGAGGGGGGGATTCCTGATGGTTAGTCTTCTTCTTCTTCTTTACTTATTCGGGTATAAGATTATTGGGTTGAGGAGGAGGGTTTTGATATGAGGGATATGATGAGGGGGAATGGGGGGTATAGGAAGTGGTAGATGGGAGTATAAGGATGTGAGAGTGTAATGGCTAATTATGTTGTAGATTTGATCAGAGATGTAACAATCTTGGTTACTCTTCGACATTTACCGGATCCTGCGGCGGCGAAGAAGTTGAAATATGTTCATATCTTTAGTGCGGGGATTAATCAGCTTTATGAGACGCCCATTGTAAGTTTTCTTAGCTACCTATATATTATCAATTCTCTTCTTCATACCCCCCTTCCCTTCCTCCCCCCTCTCCCTCCCCATTCC